GAGAGCTGAAGTGGGACACCAGGGTGACTAGAGGAGAGCCAGGAGCCACAGGAACAGGAGGCCTGGTCTAATGGCATTCCAGCTGGTCTGACCCTAAAATAGGGTCAGGTCAGGGGGCAGGGTCACAGGAAACTCCAAAGTCTTCCAAGTTCAAGGCACAGGCCTGTAGGTTCAGTAACCTATCATTAAGTCCCTGTCCCTGCCTCTGGGAATTCAGGTATGCCCATCACCTGGGAGGTGGGACTTCTCCTTTTACCATCATGAAGACAACATGGGGCCAGTTAAACCCAATTCCCTATCCATCACATGGCCAAGATGGCGCCAGTTAGATCCTCTCCACTTCAAACTCAGGGCCTGGGCCACAACACCACTTCTGGCTTTTTCTGAGTAGTTTATTGGAGATAAGAGTCTCACAGACCTTTCTGCCCAGGCTGACATCAAACTGCAAGCCTCAGATCTCAGCTTCCTGAGTAGCTAGGATTAAAGGCATGAGCCACTGGTAAACCACAGGTCTTTACTCGCAGATCATGGCCATCTGGAGAGTTTACACAAGTGTGAATCTATTTCAGTAAGAAATGGCAGAAGAAATTGTCTGTGAAAGGAATAAAATGGGCTGAGAATGTGGCTTAGCAGTAGAGTGCTTGGCTAGCATGCATGAAGCCCTGGCTTTGATTCCTCAGTACCATATAAACAGAAAAAGCTAGAAGTGGTACTGTGGCTCAAGTGGTAGAGTGCTGTGCTAGCCTAGAGCAAAAAGAAGCTCAGGGACAGTGCTCAGGCCCTGAGTTCAATCCCCAGGACTGGCAAAAAACCAAAACCAAAACCAAACCAAAAACCATAAAAGGAATAAAACAAGAAAGGTGTGGGTAATACACACTAGACAAGTTACCTGCCTCCATTTCCTGACACCTGTCCATTATGAGAATCATTTCCTATCCTTGACATGCAAATTTACTTTGAGTCCCAGATTCCCATCCTTTGGACTTTTCTCTTTTCATTATTACCCATGAACCACAAAAACAACTTCCTTTAGCACAGGATTCTCAGAAGCTATAGGCCTTGAACATTTCAGACATATGAAAATGCTAGAAATGGCTTTTAATTTCTTTATACACACATATGAAGGTGGTACTCATTGCTCTTTGAAATTATTAGTAGGTTCTTAGTAAAAATTTATCAAATGGGCAGGACATATTCATTGCTCACTCAAAAAATACAGAAAGATAAGAGGGGAGAAAATAAAAATAATTCAATAAAACATATGAAAGCGGGTGCCAGTGGCTCACACCTGTAATCCTAGCTACTCAGGAGGCTGAGATCCAAGGATCGAGGTTCAAAGATAGTCTGGACAAGAAAGTCTGTGAGACTCTTATCTCCACTTAACCGCTGGAAAACTGGAAGTGGTGCTGTGGCTCAAGTGATAGAGCACTAGCCTTGAGTTGAAGAGCTCAGGGACAGACAGGGCCCAGGTCCAGAGTTCAAGCCCCATGCCAACAAAGAAAAAGCAACCCCCCCTCAAACAGATAAAACTATGAGTAGTATAAAGATCCCCCCATATCTCCCTCTCTTTATCTCTCTCTATCTCTATCTATATATATCATCTTTATCTCTATTTGTGCATAGTTGAGGTAATGCTAAGTGAATATCCTTCACATTATGACTTAAGACTTTTTTTTCCCTTGGTACTGTTGGAGTTTGAGCTCAGGACTTTGTACTTGTCAGGGAGGTGCTCTACCACCTGAGCTACACCCCCAGCTCTTTCTGCTTTATTTTTCAAATACCTTCTCTCTTGTATTTATTCTTGGGTTGGCCTGTGTCACCATCTCCTATTTATGTTTCCCAAATAGTTGGTGCACACCACCACATCCAGGTTTTTATTGATTGGGCTAGGGTCTCTTGGGCTTTTTGTTTTGTTTTGTTTTTTTGGCCTATCTTGGCCTTTATCTTCAATCTTCCCAATCTCTGCCTCTCAGTAGCTGATACTACAAGTAGAACCTCTGTGCTTCACAAGAATTTCTTGTTATCCAAATCATTTGAAATAATTGTTGATTTTAAAATAGTTTATCATTTCAGTGTTGTTGGTTCTTTTAGCTGTCTTCAATTTTGTCTGTGATAAAATGAGGAAGATTATAGCACACCAAGAATGGTGGGACTGAAAGGAAAAATGTAACCCAGCAGAGAGTAACCCAAAAGACCACCCGGACAGAAGTAGAAAAGACTTATGGTCAGCAGCAGGGGCAACACCAAGTTGTCATGAGGGAAGGGAGAAAATGGCTCAGTTTGCCTCCTTGGAGGCCCCCTTTATAGCGTTGGGGGCCGGAAGTGGGTGGTGCCTATCTACTGCGCAGGCGCTGCCATCCAGGGTGGAGATTAGGTCTGCGAGGTGGGCGTTTCCTTACAGGGACCACGGGTGACCTAATGCAGCAGGGATACTTGGGATTGGGAGGGAGAAAATGAGAGGAGGGATGACAGTGCTCAAAAGAAATGTACTAATTTCCTCACATAACTATAACTCCATTGTACATCACTATTACAATAGAAAGAGGAAAGAAAGAAAGAAATGATTACTCAGAACATTTTCTACAGGAGTTTATAGACTGGGTATTAATTCATAAATTAATCCCTCGTGAAAGACCAGTAGAACTCACTTCCTTGAAGCATAATAACTATGGCCTGTGTAGACCGATAATGTAGCATTTCTGGGTTTATAGAAGACAATCAGGGTTTTAAAAGAGTAGTGAAACTCAATCCGTGAAGCTCAGAACCAGACTTACTCTTTGAAAATCTCGCACAACATTAGTAACAGTACAAAATACTTCATTTCTGAAATCTTGTTTTCAAGATATAGACAGATGATAGTACCAATCTGTGAACAGAAACATGACATTTTTTCCCCCACTGCAGCCTTATGTCTGGTTTGAAGTTTGATTCTGGGAGCCATAGCGTACAATTGAAATCTTTAACTGCTCTGAATTCTGTGGCCTCTTTCCATTAGCCTGAGGCCCATGGGAAACCTTAGGGTTGGGCCTTGTCCCACAGCTAGTCTGGATTTGTTAGAGGCGGGGCATCTTAAAAAAGGAGGGTGTTGCAACTAGTATTTGCAAAAAGAAACTGACTTTGGAGAGAGCAGAGTTTCAAAACACCGAGTCCTAAAGATTGAATGCGAAGTCCAACCTAAGCCTTCTGGTGGAGAACGCAGAATGCCGTGAGGTAGGGGATCATACTTCTTCTGGGTGCTCTTTGTTAGAAACGGAGTCACAAGGGCATTAGAATAAAGAAAGAGCAGAAAAGGAACTCAATGGACCAGAGCAACTTTACTGGAGAGTAGGAGAGGGACTCCCATGGTGACCTAGGAGAGTCAGGAGACCTGGGAGGCCTGGCCTGCTAGGGGTAGGGGGTGGTGGTGGACGGGTGGAAGTAGAGTAATAATTAGGGAGCAGGGTCACAGGGAACAGAAAGTTCAAAGAGTTTTGCTAGTTTGTGGCACAGGGCTGGCTCCAGGCTCCTCTTTCAGGTGCCTGTGGGGGAGGAAGGGACTCTCATATTCAGATTAAGATTCATGGGGACTGGGCTGGTATTCGGTGGACCAAGCCATGAGAGTAATACTTTGCAAAGCAGATTCCCATCAGCTACTGCTAATTGTTCTATGTGCGAATAATCCCAAACAATTAATGGGGCTAGGTTTTAGTTCATCCTGGTCCTTGGTCCTTGAGTCTGGAAATATTCTAATTTATAAGGTCAAAGAAACCTGTCACCAGCTTTCACACAAAAGGCAATTTATGAAGTTATGTTCTCGTAAGGACATAACAAATGAATCGTGACTCATATAAAATAACTGAGTAATGGAGGATCCTACTTCCTTTTATGCACGTATACAGATTGCATGCACTTCACAAAGAGATGAAAACGAAAGGTATAGCTACAAAGATACTTACTGCAGACCACATGTATGGAGAAGATAAATGTGTGTGTGCAGACACACATGTATTCTGTGGCCAGTGGGTACTTTGAAAATCTGTATAATTCAGAAAATAGATTATCATGTGACTTTTGTTTTTGGTTGAACATTTCTTGCTCTTTTTCTTTTTGGGGGAGGGGCGGTTTGAACATTTCTATCTGAAAGGAAATGGCAGTAGTGTGGGGCCCTCTCACGTTCACTCTGAATGCTTTATGCAAGGAAGACTAAGGTTTTCCTGTGGATGGCAAGCAGACTCCTCTTCCTGTCCTTTAAAGTCTGCCCCCAGATAAAGCCATATCCAAAGTCAGGGCCATGAGGCCCTAAAACAATGAGCTCTCACAGGAGTGCATCCAAGGTTTTCACTCCCGTTCTTGGGTGGGAACAACCTCCAGCCCAAGGCCAATGGGAAATCTAAGGGTTGGGCCTTGTCCCACAGCCAGTCTGGATTTGTTGGAGGCGGGGCACCTCAGAAAAGGATGATGTAGCAACTAGCATTTGCATTTCTGGGAAAAAGAAACTGACTGTGGAGCTCTAGGAGAGAACAGGCAGGAGAGAGTTTCAAAACACTGAGTCCTAGAGATTGAATGCAAAGCCCAACCAAATTCTGGGGAAGAACGCGGTGAGGTAGGAGATCATACTTTTTCTGGGTGCTCATTGTTAGCAAATGGAATCACACGGGTATTAGAATAAAGAAAGAGCAGAGTAGGAGCTCCATGGACTGGAGCAACTTTACTGGAGAGTGGGAGAGGGACCCCATGGTGACCTGAGGAGAGTCAGGAGACTGGAGGCATGGTATGCTGGGGGCAGGGGTGGAGGGGTGGAAGTAAGGTAATCATTAGGGGGCAGGGTCACTGGGAGCTACACTGTTCTAAGGGTGGGGGGTAGCGTCACGGGTAGCTGAGGGTTCAAAGAGTTTGGTGAGTTTGTGGTGCAGTCTGGGAACCTATTGTTCAAGTCCCGTGCCCCAGTTTCTGTGCTTCTAGCAATTCAGGTGCCTATATAGTCTAGGGTTGGGGAAGTGGAACTTTACATTTAGATTAAGATTCTGGGCAGGGGACCAGGCTGAACAATATCCCCTGGGGGAAGGATAGTCATTAGGCCAAGCCAAGGGAGTAATATTGAGTTAGGAGAACAAAGCAGATTGCCTGTAGGTTAGCCAGTGTGTGTGTGTTCGTGTGTGAGAGAGGGGAACAGAACACAGGGTAAGTGACCTGTCAGGGATTTAGAGTTTTTTATTTTTTGGCCTATCTTAATACAGCGTAATTTTTATTCAAAGTTCCAATAGACCGTAATATTCCTACCAACTCTCATTTCCCCATTTGAGAAGTAGCTCCAGCCTAAAGAGGAACTAACTGGTGGCTTCGGGAGAACTGTTGAAATTTCTGTTTTGAACAGCAGCTTTCTTTGCCATTTTTCAGGTTGCACCATCCACTGGCCATTGCTCAGGGCTGGTGTGAGGCCAGCTTGTCTGAGTCATGGGAGGCTGGAGGGAAGCTGTCCTTTTCTGGGCTGTAGCTACCTGTGTGAGATCAGACCCGTCTCTGGGAGAGACTGATCAGACCGGATTTCAAACTTGCAAGAATGCCTTGAAACTACCGGTCCTGGAGGTCCTGCCCGGAGGGGGCTGGGATAATCTGCGGAATGTGGACATGGGACGGGTGTTGGAGTTGACCTACACCCACTGCAAGACCACAGAGGATGGACAGTACATTATCCCCGACGCTGTCTACACCATTCCACAGAAACAGAGCGACTTGGAGATGAATTCCGAAATCCTGGAATCCTGGATGAATTACCAGAGCAGCACCGCGTCGTCCATCAACACTGAGCTCTCCCTGTTCTCCAAGGTCAACGGCAAGTTCTCTGCTGAGTTCCAGAGGATGAAGACCCTTCAAGTAAAAGAACAAGCCATCACCACCCGAGTGCAAGTCAGAAACCTGGTCTACACCGCCAAGATCAACCCCACCTCAGAGCTCAGCTGGGAGTTTAAGAAGGAGCTCATGGACATCTGTGACCGGCTGGAGAACAACCAGACCAGGATGGCCACCTACCTGGCTGAACTCCTGGTCCTCAACTACGGCACCCACGTCATCACCAGCGTGGACGCCGGAGCTGCTCTTGTTCAGGAAGATCACCTCAGGGCCACCTTCCTCCAGGAAGGCCAGAGCAGCCACACGGCCATAACGGCGGCTGCGGGAATCGCCTTCCTGAACATCGTGAACTCCAAGCTGGAGGACAACTACACTTCCCAGAATGCCTTGACCAAAGGCTACCTGGCGAACCGCACTCACTCCAGGGTGCAGAGCATCGGAGGGGTACCATTTTACCCCGGGATCACCCTCCAAGCCTGGCAGCAGGGCATCACCAACCACTTGGTGGCGGTGGACCGCGCTGGCCTGCCTCTGTATTTCTTCATCAAGCCGGACAAGCTGCCTGCCTTGCCTGGTCCCTTGGTGAAGAAGCTGTCCAAGACAGTAGAAAGTGCCGTGAGACGCTATTATGCCTTTAATACCTACCCTGGCTGTACCGATGTCAATTCCCCCAACTTCAATTTCCAGGCCAATACAGACGATGGCTCCTGCGAGGGGAAGATGACCAACTTCTCGTTTGGTGGGGTGTATCAGGAATGCACCCAACTCTCAGGGAGCGAGGTGGCTCTCTGTCAGAACCTGGAGCAGAAGAATCTACTCACGGGCAACTTCTCCTGTCCCTCCGGCTACCACGCCGTCCATCTCCTGTCCCAGATCCACGAGGAGGGTTACAATCACCTCGACTGTCGACGGAAATGCACCCTCTACATCTTCTGTAAGACGGTGTGTGAGGATGTGTTCCGAGTGGCGAAGGCTGAATTTAGGGCTTTCTGGTGCGCGGCGCATGGGCAGGTATCTGAAAACTCTGGACTTCTCTTTGGGGGTCTTTTCAGTAGCAAGAGCATGAACCCCTTGACGAATGCCCAGTCGTGCCCGGCTGGCTACATCCCACTGAGCCTGTTTGAGAGTCTCAAGGTGTGTGCCTCTCAGGACTACGAGCTGGGATACAAGTTCTCAGTTCCCTTTGGGGGCTTCTTCAGCTGTGCTGTGGGCAACCCCTTGGTGAATTCGGCCATCTCCGGGGACCTCGGCGTACCCTCGCTGCAGAAATGTCCTGGGGGTTTCAGCCAGCACCTGGCCCTCATCAGCGATGGCTGCCAAGTCTCCTACTGCGTCAAGGCCGGAGTCTTCACCAGTGGCCTTTTGCCCCCTGCCAGGCTCCCGCCTTACACGCGGCCGCCTCTTATGAGCCAGGCTGCCACCAACACAGTCATAGTGACCAACACCGAGGGGTCCAAATCCTGGATTAAAGACTCCCAGACCCACCAGTGGAGGCTGGGGGAGCCGCTGGAGTTGCGGAGAGCAATGACCGTCGTCTACGGCGATGGAAGTGGCCTGTCGAGAGGGGCAGTGGCTGGAGTCACATTAGCAGTCACCATCGGCCTGGCCGCTGCGATTGCTTTGGTCCGCTATGGCATCCAGAAGTACAAGAAAAAAGGATACCAGGCAATCGAGGAGGAGGAGGAGGAAAGGCAGGGTTTTGCCACCTCTGGAGATAGCCACAACCAAGAGCAAGGGCAAGGTCCAGCTTAAATCTCTCCAGATGCGGGGAGGGAGGGGGGGAAGCCCTTTCTGGGCTTGTCAGACCCCTGTCTGTCTTTCAAGCATGACTTTCATTACTGCTCTCTCGACTGTTACCTTCCCAAGTATTGGAGTGACAAGGGCAACAGAAAGCAGGTACCACTGGGTGACTTCCTTAGCTTGGGAGGTGGGGGTGTGGGTGGGGCTAGAAATGAAAAGGGTTCTGTGGGGAAGGATGGGGCAGGGAGAGAACAATTGTGATTTGTTCATCCAAAGGCCATCCTAGGGGCTAACCCAGAAATGCGGTTATCTGTTCTCTGCTTTATTACCTAATTGTCTCCACCTGAATGCATGCGTGTAAAGAGAGGGAGAAATGCAGACCTCTGGATTTGTAAACTGCATTTACTTTTTATTTTTGGCTAGTCTTGGGACTTGAACTCAGGGCCTAGGCACTGCCCCATGAGCCTTTTTGTGCTCAAGGGTAGCACTCTACCACTTGAGCCAGAGCACCACTTCTGGCTTTTTCGGAGTAGTTTATTGGAGATCAAGAGTCTCATGGACTTTACTGCCTGGGCTGGCTCTCAGATCTCAGGCTCCTGAGTAGCTAGGATTACTGGTGTGGAGCCATCAGCACCTGGCTTGCATTTTATTTACTCTTGCATCTCTAGTGGTTTCCAATTTGTGATTTTTTAAAGAGGTTCTGCTTTAATCACTGCCATCCCTGTATTTTGTTTTTTGAAAGCAGCCTGGATTTCATGCTTCCAAAGGCAGAGTCCTACAAAGACACAGGAAGTCCTGCCTGGCCGGTGCTTTTTAGCTTCAAAGGCTCCCATTAATGAGTTGTGTCATCTCCCTGGATTATCTTAACGGCATCTCAAAGGAAAAAAATATGTACTACTTCTACTTTTTCCAGCTGGCCCATCCATCGTAAGGACTTACTTAGATCAGACCACTCTTCAGATTCTTGACTATGTCCCTCAAGTCCTCTCCAGGAAATATTTTTTTTTAACTCATAAAGGGGGCTGATGTAATCAAATCTGTGTCTTTAGCCATAGACCACTTGAGGCAATCATTTCTGTTTCCAGGCTGACTTCGCTGGGGACTGTCACCAGGCAATATTTGTGGCTTTGCAAAATTTTTCATATCAATCTTATTGTGAGTGTCACCATGTTATCAGTATCTCTCCATCACATTTCAAAAACATACTGAAGGGCTGGGAAGATGGCTCAGTGGTAGAGCGCTGGCCTTGCATGCCTGAGGACCTGGGTTCGATTCCTCAGCACCACATAAGCAAAAAGAAAAAAGCCGGAAGTGGCGCTGTGGCTCAAGTGGTAGAGCGCTAGCCTTGAGCTGAAGAGCTGAGGGACAGTGCCCAGGCCTAGAGTTCGGGCCCCATGGCCGGACCCCCCCCCCAAAAAAAAACTGTATTTACCCATCAAATTCAGTGCCTTAAGTGTTACCTTCTGGGTAGGGTAATTTGTTTTTGCCTTGTTAACATTCCCACCCTAGGGCTTGTGTTGACAGTAGACCCATCTAATGAGTTTCGAGTATTCAAGTTGTGGGATTCATTCATTTCCCACTGAGATATGGAAAAGCAAATTGAATTTGAGCCTGGTACTCCCTACTGTCTAGCTGAGATTTGATTCTGTAATCTTTATACCTTAACCCTGCCTCTTCAGCATGTTCTAAACCTTTGAGTGTTTTGTGGGTTCTGAATTAACTATATTTCTGCAAACACGGACTGACTTTGCTCTATGAGTTCTTTGACAATGACTGTCAGAAAGTAAAAATAGAGCCAAAGATTCTCAGGCTTTTAGCAAACTAACTGCCCATTGAAACAAAAAGAGTTCTGTATAACCCTACACGTCTACTAACAAAACGATGTGTAAATATGCATTAAAATCTTCCATAAATGAACCCTGTCTCAATGCTTATCCGTATGAAATCAGAACTTGGGCGTCTTCAGTTCATATCCATCAAATGCTTGACCAAGTCAGACCCACAGGCCTGCGAGGTTCTGGCTCCCCACTGATCATCATGGACGGTGGCTGGGAAAAGACCAGACCACACTCTCGGGACTACAGATATGGGTGTCAAGTGGTTCTACCTTTGCATTCTCTCTTTGTGTTCTTGTTATGACTAATACTGAACATGTTTTTGAAAAACAATCACCTGTAAATGCTTAAAACATACACCAGGGCTGGGAATGTGGCTCAGTGGTAAGAGTGCTTGCCTAGTGTGCATGAAGCCCTGGGTTCCTCAGAACCACATACGCAGAAAAAGCCCAAAGGGGCACTGTGGCCCAAGGGGTAGAGTGCTAGCCTTGAACAAAAGAAGCTCAGGGACAATGCCCAGGCCCTGAATACTAGCCCTAAAACTGGCCAAAAAAAGCATCATATTTTATTCAGGGGGACAGGGCCTTTAAGAAGTGAACATGTACCATGTGGTCAGTTTCTTTGGGGTTGGGGTAGTGGGGGGAGATGGGGAGAAGAGAGAATCCAATCAGGTCATATATATTAATAGAAACAAAAAAAGAATGAAAGAAAAAAAGACTCCCCCCTTATCTGGTGGAAGGGTTGTGGTTGCTTACAGAGTCAAAGGGAAACAAACAAACAAACAAAACTTCTACGGTGTAAGTTACTCATCTACCAAAAGCAGTTTGCGGTTGTTCATTTGCCATTTATTGTTCTGCACATACACCTCATGAGCACCAGGTGGCGATGTCCTCTCACAGAGCAACACCAAAAAAAAAAAAAAAAAAAA